GTGTCTGTGGCCCACATTGAATGATGAGGTAGGCGTGTGAAACTGACACTTGTTGAAAATGTTCCCTTTTCACTGCACACTCGAATTCGCTTCATTTTACACCCAAGACATTAATATGACATTAGAAATAGAAATTAAAATGTATAATGTAACAAAATAAGAACACTAAAGCTTTGTTTGGCAAACCATCGTTTGAAATCGGTCTTATTTCATTATATGAGCCGGGATAGCTCAGTCAGTATAGTGACTAGCTACGGGCTGGACGACCGGGGTTCGATCCCCGGCGGGGGCACAGGATTTTTCTCTCTGCGTCCAGACCGGCTCTGGGGCCCACCCAGCCTCCTCTACAATGGGTACCGGGGGTCCTTTCCCGGGGGTAAAGCCGGCCGAGACGTGATGCTGACCACTCACCCCCATCTAGTGCCGAGGTCAAGAAAGAGAGGAGCTATACCTCCACTCCCCCCAAGCGCCTACATGGCGTGTAGTGGGACAAACTTTACTTTACTTTACTTTACTTATTTCATTATATTAAAGTTAAAACTATAACAAATATGCCTCAAACGAGCCTGTCTTCATCAGAAATTTTCTGGGTTTCCGGAAATAGAAAGTATAAATGTTTCTGGAATTACATAGGACCGAATATTCCTTTGGAAGTAAGAAAATAAGACGACATAAAACCGAAAATGTGTACTGATCACTGGCAGTGACTTTCTAACATTTGATTTGGATCAAAAATAAACTGTAGAACACGTTTTTATAAATACGATAATTAATAATTTGACAGACAAATATTATTCGAGGGTTATCAAATCAAGAAGAATAAGATAGAGGAGAAGCACAAATACATAGATCATTTGTGAGACCAAGACGTCGATGGAAGGATAATATTAAAATATAACTTAAAGTAATATGACAGGCCTATGAAAGTTTAGACTTGATTCATCTGGCTTGTGACTAGTACCAGTGACAAATTTTTATGAAAACTATATAAACCTTAGGTTTTCTTTTAAGACAGGGAATTTATATGTCCCATTCAGTCAGAAAATGTATGCGTTTCAAGAGTATGAAACGTATTAGAAATAATCGATTAGGTACCTCTAAAACATGAATCACATTCCAGTCCAAAATTATGGCCTACATGCGCGTAAATATCATTAAGTTACCAAAAATATATGCCACAACGGGCTGACGCCCTATTTTCTTTACAGAACTCTCGTTCCATTCTTACTGTGATCCTTCTTTTTTCCTCCCAGATATCGACATGACCTCGCCATTCGTACAACTCCACAAAACACGCAAGCAATCAGTAAACACATTTTGTGCTAATGGTTAAACAGAGTTAGAACAAATACAAAAGAGAACAGTTAAAGTATCTCGGCAATTCCTGTACGTACGTAAGTGTATGCATGAGCATATAAAACTTCTCACCGACCATGTAGGCTTGCTTGATCCATTAATTTATAGCACCTTAGCAGGCAACAAGTTTAGACCACTTTTCATTTGTTTCGCCACATAGAACGCTGAATCGTGTTTTATGTGCAGCGAGTCGTTCACCAACGAAAACGTCGTAATTTATTGGTTCGCCGGCACATACAAGTTTATTGCAATGGAACCATTTAGTATATTGAAAAGGCAATAACATACTGCAGTGCTGAAAGAATGACGAAGAAAAACTGAGGAAATTTACACGTGGTTATAATCACGCATAGTGATTTTGTCTTATGCAAAAGTCCCTCAAGATCTGAACTTTTGTGCACTGTTAAAATAGGTGATAAGTAGGGGTACCTTTACCAGTGAAATTACTGACTAGTGACTGGACAACGTGGATTCGACTGAACGAAGGGGTAGGGATATTCGTATTTCCCACCCACGGCCAGATTTAGACACCCTGGGGCCGTAGGCTATGCTAAGCTTCAGAGGTCCCATAACAAGTGAAAGAAATACGTTGAACGACATAAAACGAAACAAATTACGATGTTTTTGACTTCCTATGGTCTCTAATAAAGATTAAATTAAAAACTAATAACTTACCTAGCAACAACTAACTAATAAGATTTGAGTGATCTCGACCCTTAAGATTTTCCAAGAAAAAAAAAAACAAGAGAAAAAGAGGGAGAGAGGAAAAGCAAGCTAAAATAGATCTGTTATGTAAACAATATTTGAAAAAAATAAGTAAAACATTTTAACTATTTTTGTAAAGTTATGAATGTTCATGAAGGCAGTCTTAGAAATAGAATATTCAAGATAAAGGCTCCTATCTGATTCATGAATACTGAATGTTGGCATTTACTGGCAGAAAACGAATTTATATAACAATTCACTCGTCGTGTAACCTTGTACCTTGCATGCAGATGAACCGATTAAGCTACGTGACACATGCAAATACGCTCTGTTACAGAGTCAGACCTCGGAATACAGAATTCTTCGAATCGGTTACATTCTTCCAGTAGGCCTACCACAAATCATGAAGGCAAAAATACCATACGCACAAAAGAATTCACAAAATTTAAATAAAGAAATATGAACAAAACATGGACCTCTACGTGGTTATTATTAATCAAAATAAATAATATATTATTCGGACTTCTCAAAACGAAAATTGGCCTCTTACAGGCGTCATTTTTAATAAATTATAAACAAGTCAAATGTTAACAAACCTCGCTATTATTCTGTTCCTACCAAAAACCATAAATATTAAAGTACATGAAAGTGTAATTTTACCTGCTGTTTTGTATGGACATGAAAATTGGACTCTCACCTCAAGAAAAGAACACAGATTCAGAGTGTTCAAGAATACTGGTGATGAAAATAAAAGGACCAAAAAAATTAATTAAAGGCAAAACTAAGAATACTGCAAAATTTTTCCTCTTTATCAAATTAGGGTCATACATTCAAAGAGGAAACGGACCGGGGGGAGAGGGGAGTAGATCAGTGTAGAGTTCGCCTTCTGGGTTTTGTGAGCACAGTAATGAACATCCCGGTTCCACTAGAGACGCGGAATTTATTTACCGTAAAAGCGTTGATCACCTTCTCAACAAGCACTCCACTCCGTGGATCTAATTTGCTTCCTGGCCCCACAGTTCGATTTGTGCCTTGGCTTACTTTACTGTCATATTTTCTAATTCCACACTCAGACAAGTGGCATGACTCCGACGGTGGATCCAGAATTAAGAATGCACTGCGTTATCACCCGTGATATAACATTTTCCGCTTCCGTTTTACTGCACTGGGCAATAACGTAATTTAGCTTCTTGTGTATGAAGTAACACTTTATTGACACTTATACATTTAGAGTAAATTAGTAAAATTCCTGAGAGAAAAAAACAACACCAAAAATCCTTACAAGGATACTCTAACGAAATTGCTGGATATGAGAGAAGGGCAAGACCTGTTCTTTCGCACTAATCAGAAGTCGGGGTCGTAGAAAGAGGATTGACGAAATTGAAATGCAGTTTCAGAGATTATGAAAGTAGAAAATAATTAAAGAGAGGAATTATACATTAATATAATAGCTGGATTTTGAGGCAATGGAAATATGCTTTAGAAACATGTTAGAAGTATGGAAGGAAATCTAATCCCAAAAGTCAGTGTGAAAAGAAAAGGAATGTTAGAAAATAACAAGGCGCAAGTCCGTCATACCGACTTCCAACGAAAGTGGACCCATTATATGCGCCCTTGGACAAAACACTACCAGTACATGCTTCCGAATTTTCAAAATGTAAGAAAAAAAACTAGTTTC